CCCCTGCTCGCACCCCCCTGTCTCCGCCTCTGCAAGAGGATAACCTGATGTGGCGGTACGAATCTAAAAGCATTTACTCTTCAAAATCTCTATATGCCATTATTAATTTTAGAGGTGTGCAGCCTATTTAGGCCCTGTTTGGTTCATATGTCCTAAGCATTTTTTAGTCCCAACTTATAAGTCTCAAGTCCCTAAAAAGTCCCTACTTGTTTGGTTCCTGGGACTTAACATGGATTAAAAGATCATATTACAACTATAAGTCCCTATAAGTCCCTCCTTGAGAGTCTTATTTCATAAGTTCCAAATACCCACTTTAAGTCTCTATAAGTCCCTCATGTTTGGTTTAGATGGGACTTATAGGGACTTTTTTAAGTCCCTAGAAACAAACACCCTCTTACACTCATGTGGTGTGGAGTTTGAAAATCCCACCTAGAATATGAGAGTTTCTTTGGTTGTTCTCTCAGAATAAAATAATGACTTGTGATAAACTTGAGGAAAAGAGGAATTCCAAAACCCCTGGAATGTGTGCGCTGTACTGAGATAGGATCTGTACATCATCTTTTCTTTGATTGTGTAGTTGCTAGGATAATTTGGAAGGAGGTGGAGGTAATTTTTTTATAGGAGTTTCCATTCCTTCTTGGAGTTAGCTGCCTGCTGGCTCTGTAACAAGAAAATTATGCAATTGAATGTAGTCTCTTCTGCTGTCCTGTGAGGACTGTGAAATGCTAAGAACTCACTTGTGTTTAATAGAATTAAATGGACTTGTGTCAAACAGGTTTGGCATGGGTGAAACCTCACAAGGAGCTAAGGGGGGGCAGATGACACAACTCAGAGATCATCTGTTGGTGAAACTAAGATCGCCTCTGGAGCTGGAACCAGACCGAGATGTCAAGAAACCTTGGGTCATCTTTCCTGGGCAAGAACCATTCAAAGAATGACACACGGGGGTCGCGCCACACTGGAGGAGTTGAAGAACAACCCAAAGATAGCAGATGAGATCCATGTGGTCTTCGCTCTCATGATCTGAACGAAAAATGTGGCAGATTTATCGTTACTTTCACTGTTATGTCTGTTCTCCCTCAACCTGTAAGACTGTCTTTTAGCGGATCTGTTTGGTTGTTGGTTTGAGCTTTTGGAACCTGGGTGGGTTAGACCAGATGCTTTGTATGGCTTGTGTGGTTAAGTTCTATGAAGTGTGTAGCCGGGGGAGTTCCCCTTTGATCGAAAAAAAAAGACGAAGTTGCATGTTGGAGTTGGAGGAGCACGTTGGAGTGGGCGACTCGATTCATCCTCTCAAGAGGATTGGTGTGGACATGGACTGAGTATGTTGTAATGCGGCACCGTCGACAGCGGTGCTAGGTTGAAGTGGAGCCTGGTAAATACTCTCTCTGTCCAGAAATACTTGTCCTAAAATGGTTATATCTAGATTTATTTTAGTTATAGATATATCCATTTTATTCATTATTAGGACAAGTATTTCCGAATAGAGGGAGTACTACTGTCACGTCTGGTCTACTCGATCAATCAAACTACTACCTCACACTGGATCTGGTTAGGTAGGTGCGGACCTTCTCATGCTGTCGCGCCCTTTACAGCCCGCGCAAAAAGTAACACGACAGAGAGGGTTGCACTTAGGTGAGCCCGATCAAACTATGCAAGATTTCGGGTTGAAAACTCAAGCCATCTTTCCGCAGCCGGTACTCTGGATTAACCCATTTTTTTCCTGCTCAATCGCAATCTACTTCTGGTCGTCACGCCCCAATCCGTAGCAAAAACAGTCAAAAGGACTAATATCATCCACCAGCTGAGCTCAGGGGCGGCGACCGACGAACAGGAAACACAAGAGAAAGAAAGGGAACGCTAGAAGAAACATAGCTGTAGTTGAACAAAACAGCTCACTAGTGTTTCAGACGTCAGAAACATTCCGACCGCCAACAAAAAGATGAACAAAATGGAATTCCAAGGCTTTTGTGACACATCATCACGTCTTCTTGGCATTTTATTACTGTACCAGTCCAATCTACAAAACGCTAACACATCACCCTAATCAAGCACATCATCACTATACAGATTAAAAAGCAAGTAGGCTGGTCAAGGTCAACAATTGCAACGGCGAGATCAACATTCCACAGAAAGGAATTCAACATCTCTAACCGGCTGCTGCAACATGATATCAACGTGTGGACAGCAGAACATTCAGTAGACCGCTATTATTCCACGACTAGCAGCAACAAAACTTAGCATTCAAGAGAAGAAAGAAACAGCTGAAATGTTTGACGGCGAGCAAATACCGACCGACCAACCAACCCACGTTTATTGCATAGTGGGGTTACAAGCCCCACTCAACACACACTTCTTCCATGACCCCCATCCAATCAGAGAACGACAAGTATCTACAAGCTGGTTCTACTATCTACGCTTCACTCTGCCCTTTTTCACATGTCCTTGCAACATAGTATATCCCATAGCACTGAGATCACTCGCTAGGCTAACCAAAACAACAAATAAATCAAGGCAAAGAGAAGAAAATCCGACACTATATGGACAATCAAAAACCCTCGACGCCAGGTCTCCGCATGATGTTGGGGGGCGATTTCTTGACCGAGCTTACCCTGGGGTAGTCCAGGGTGATGGTGGAAGAGCAGTTCCTTGGGGGAAGCAGCGCAGACGTCGATGATCTCGGTGACACCAGGTGCTGGTTGCGCGAAGGAGGCGACGGCGAGAAGGTCATGACAGGATGCTGAGGAACAATGCCGTTGAGACTCGTGGATTTTAGCATCACTTTCCTCGGTGCGGCGGACGGTACTTGAAGAGGATACCGGCAGGGGACCTTTATGTCCTGGACGCTTGCTAGAGACTCCACGACGGCCCTCATCGTAGGCCTTTCGGATGGATCCCTATGAAGGCACTTCAGGATGATGTCTGCCACAGTCCTAGCAGCCTTGGGAGGAAAGCGTCCTTTTATACGGGGATCCATGATGAGGGATAGGCGACTATCGTCCGTGAGGAAAGGCCTGCCCCACTTGACAATATTGCGTTCTTCTTTGGTGGAACGTACATCAAGGTTCTTCCTTCCTGTTATTAGCTCGAGCAAGACGACTCCAAAGCTCCATACGTTGCTCTTGGGAGTCAGTACCCCTTTCTCCAAGGTTTCCTCTGAGAGGTTTGTAGCAGTCTGCCCAAGAATAACATCTCCCGTAAGCATTGGGATGTTGACAAGTAAATGAACATAATGCGATGTATTAATATTATTTCCATCTTTTTTACTGCATTAAAAGCATGCAAGCCAGAACCAATGTAAACTGTGGAGGAACATGCTGTGTGAACCTTACCACAGATGCCTTAGATCTTTCCTCCTCAGAATTGAAGCCAACACAACCATATCCCGACAGCTTTGCCGTGAAATCTTTCTCTATTTGGATGTTTGAGGTTGAGAAGTCATCATACATTGCCTGTAAATAGAAATGCATGTTAAAATATATAAGAAATAACTACCAAACAAAGTGCAAGAGAGCATGGTAACTTCTTGGTCATGTCAAAGGGTTTGGATCAAGTTACCTGAAAGGGTCCTTCATCGTGTAGGAAAGCTAGACCTTTAGCAGCACCAAGGGCAACCTTCAAACGTGTAGACCAGTCCATCAAACGACCTTCCGGTCTTCCAAAGAGTAACCTGTCTAAACTGCCATGATGGAGCCGCTCATAAACCAACATCCTTTCATTAGATTCATCTCTTGCATGATAGCCGATGAGTTTACATAAATTGGGATGTTGAAGTGATGCCAACGTATTTACTTGTGCCTTAAATTCTTTGAAACTCTGCAGAGTGGTGAAAAATATATTGCATCAGTGCCTCATTAGTCAAATTTTCAATATTACAACAAGGTGATCCAAGAAACATAGTAGTCATGGCATGTAGGTGGCAACTTCTCTAAAATGGTGAAAGGTATCCAGTTATCTAGAAGGTCTAACCAACAATCTCAGACTACTAGTTTTTTTTTTTGGAGATTCCTTAAATGTCGACATCCAGTAAAGCTGGACGGGACATTACCAAGGATCATTAGGCAAAGTCATCTACCTTGGAGAAAGTAAATCTCCACCAAATCGCTTGCAAGAGAAAGCATGAAACACCACCTCCCAAAAGAACATTGCTAGTGAACAAACAGCTCACAAGTGATAAAGCCAAGATTGATCATGAAGGGGTACAAATATCTCATAGTGAAGAGAACAAGGACGATCAAACACATTTCCTTCCTTCAAAGCATGCTACTTAACCCACCGATGTTATGGTCCTAAGTTGTATTTGCAAAATTAAAATCAGCCTATTTCTACAGGGGGCAGAGCTGCATCAATAAGCATAGGTCACATGCCTAGATGTAAACAGCAGGCCACTCTAGCCTAAGTTCAGCTTTGTAAACAGAACAGATACTGCAAACATAATACATTCATGGTGGATAGGCAAATTTCAACAAGTTATCACATGGAAAGAAAAAAAAATAGTAGGTGTGCCAGAAAGTGTATTGGCGAACAGGCCGGACTAGCAAAACTGTGAGGGAAATCTCCATGATCCAAAATAAGAAGGGAAAGTATTACCATGAAACTTGATAGAGAACAGTACCTGGTTGGACGGGAGTAATCGGGCAACTATTGCGTCCATCTTCTTTGGTTCAACAAAATCATCCCTGAACGATGCCTTATATGACGTCAAAGTCTGAGTTTCCGAGACACACTGATCACTAGAAAACCACTGGCAAGCAGTGGAAATCTCATCATACGAGAAGTTCTTAAGCCCATCGGACCTCTTCGGAGGCAGTGGGAGAGGACCTGAAACCTCAAGTGGCCCACTTGCATTGATAGCCTTGAAGCTACCAAAGTTCCTCAAAGAACTGCCTTCTGGTGAGGGAAGAGGAAGGGGCAGCGGATTTGAAAACCGATGCGCCTTAATAGCTCCTCCCTTGCCCCTAGGGTCATCCTGATCATCGAATTCGGCATACGGAAGGCCATCCTGATCAACCAGGATCAGGCTGGAGGGAGCAGACAGCACACGTGCCCTGCTGTAAGAGACTTTATTGGCCGATTGGCAGATCTTTGCCCTGTTCCTGAAACTAGGAGGCGCCGACTGCAGAGATGGCACATGAGCTTCCGGCTCCGGGAGCCTCAGGGATGTGTCCCTTGCATCGCCATGCTTCTTGCTTGCGACAAGAGGGCTCTTCTTCTTCTTGGACCTCAGGCCAGTGAAGCAGCCCATCATATGCACACCGACGAAAAGCTCCTGCAGAATTTGAAATGGGTTGATGAATTAGCATATAGTAGTAGCAAAAGTAACTGGTCCTGCATTGCATTACAGCGGTTAGCAGTTGGCAAAACACACAAGAAAAAGCTGTGGTGTACCACATCCATGTTGCTTAAAGATTAATCCAGTACACCTAAGCTACAAAAAGGCACCAAGGCCTCGCACGAGCGGCCAACCCAGCTATGATTTTTCCGATCAAGTACAACGCCTATGAACTGATCTGTTTATATTTCACTTTTGTGAACAACTAAATTCCGAAGCCTCCAAAAATCATTGCCGGAGAAGTAGAAATTACTTCTACCGTCCCAAGAACTGATCTACCCCCGGGCACCAGCTAGGACCAAAGATACTACGTGGCCTGGCTGGTTCGACGCATTGGTCCACAGGCGCCACATTCAATTTCCAAACACCGTCCATTATTAATTCCGTCTCCGATGCAGCTTCGCAGAAATTGCGCATGCCCACAGCGGCAACTACAACTACTATCTATCAAGCCACCAACTCGGCAGGAACGGAGTTGAATGGTCAGAGCCCTCACCTAATCTGCCCAAATAACAAACTGGGTCAAGAGACCAGCTAAAATAAGCAACCTTCCTCAACTAAGTAATTGACCCCACCAAACCCTGCCAAGAACCGGCCGCCCCCGGATTAACCGGAACATTTGACCAGCACGCGGCCGTAATGAGCCGCAGCTCATGGCCGGCAGGCTGAAAATCACCAAGGGGGGATCACCAAAACGCTCAAGAATCAGCATGCAGGACGAATCCTAAGCCTCCGTCCCCCGAAATCTACAATGCGAGGGGCGCGGGCGAGGAAACGGTCAAACGTGCCAGCGGCGCCTTTGTGCCGGCCCAAATGGGGAGAGATCCAGGCCGAGCAGCTCCGGAACTCGCGACATGAACGGCGAACAAGGGGCTGAAGAAGCGCCCGTACAAACAGCAAACAGAACAGACATGGACCAAGATCGCACCTGTGGAAGCCGCTCCGGCGCGTGCGAAATGGGAGGAGACTGGCCCGCTCCTCGGGCGGAGGCTGGCGTCTGGGGCGTCGGGGGAAGAGGACGGGGGTGGGGCGAGACGAGGAGAGCGAATGGCGGGGCGAGGGAGGATATAGCAGCAGGAGGAGGAGCTGCTGAAGTGCTGAGAGGGGGGAGAAAAGTAAAGAATGGAGGTGAGAGAGGGGATGGAGTAAGAAGAAGCGGCAGCGGGGTGGGCACTGGTCAAAGCCGGAGATGTGGCGATAGCAACTCCGAGGCGAGGCGGATTTTTATATTCCACCCTGTTCCCGCCGCATTTTTCGAAACCGCCCTCTCCATTCGCAGCCGCAGAAATGTTTGGGGGCGTTTTCTAGTAGTTGATGGATCCTTGTTTTGTATTTTACCCCTCGTTGGCATACTCGCGGTTTTCGAGCTGGTGAAAACGTGAAAACTAGGTTAACCACCGGAAGAGAAAACACCGGGGGGAAAGCTGTTTTGAATCCCGGATCCCATGGGAGCCGGTATTTGGAATTGGAGCCTCGAAAATATGTTTTGTTTTGCATATATAGACGTATGTAAACTATTTTATTGGTGTACAAAAAATATGTGTGCCGAAATTTTTATTGACGCATTTTTTCTTCTTCCCTTTAGCTATACTATCTTCCTAAGATGAGGTGTAGGAGTCGCTACGACTGATGAACGGAAAGATAAAGGCTCCTTAGAGCACGGGATCGGCTTCATGAAAAATAGAAATACTGTAAATTTGGATATAGGAATGAAGAGTGAAACCCGGCAAGAGAAGGAACGGAAATGAAAAACTCGCAAATGGAAAAGGCGTTCTAGTGGGAAAAAAACATGTTTTCATGCTGAACACACGGCGGAAACAGAAACGGAAACGAGAAATTCGTGAATGGATAAAACGCGATAGTGGGAAACGGGACATCTTTTCATGCTGAACACCCGGCGGAAACAGAAAACAGAAACGAGAAATTCGTGAATGGATAAAACGCTATAGTGAAAACGGAACACATTTTCACGCTAAACACCCGGTTCAAAACAGAAACGGAAATGAGAAAAACGGATTTTTATATTTCACCTTGTTACCGCCGCATTTTTCCAAACCGCCCTCTTCATTCGCAGCCACAGAAATGTTTGGGCATTTTCTAGTAGCTTGGTGGATCCTTATTTTGTATTTTACCCCTCGGTGGTATACTCGCAGTTTTGGAGCTGGTGAAAGCGTGAAGTCTAGGTTAACCACCGCAAGAAATAACACTGAAAGAAAAGCTGTTTTGAATCCCGAGTCCCATGGTAGCCGGTATTGGGAATTGGAGCCTCAAAAAAATTGTTTTCTTTTGCATATATAGACGTGTGTAAACCAACAACGTAAACTATTTTATTGGTGCATAAAAAATATGTGTGCCGAAATTTTTACTGACGCATTTTTCCCCTTTAGCTACACTATCTTCCTAAGATGGGGTGTAGGAGGGGCTAGAGCTGATGAGCGGAAAGATAAAAGACCCCTTAGGGCACATAATCAGCTTCATGGAAGATAGAAAATATTGTAAATTTGGATACGGGAATGAAGAAGGAAACCCGGCAAAAGAAGGAATGGAGACGGAAATTTCGCAAATGGAAAAGACGTTCTAGTGCAAACAGAACATGTTTTCATGCTGAACACATGGCGGAAATAGAACGGAAACGAGGAATTCGTGAATGGATAAAACGCTATAGTGGAAGCGCAACATGTTTTCATGCTAAACACCCGGTGGAAACAGAAATGAAAATGAGAAATTCGTGAATGGTAAAATGCTATAGTAGGAACAGAACATGTTTTCATGCTGAACACCCGGCGAAAATAGAAACGAAAATGAGAAATTCGTGAATGGATAAAGTGCCCAAGTGGGAACGGCACATGTTTTAATGTTGAACAACATCAGGAGGAAATAGAAATGGAAACGAAAATGTCGTGAATGGAAAAGATGTTCAAGTAAAAACATAACATGTTTTTATGCTGAACACTCCACGAAAACCTAAACGGAAACAAAAAAATCGTGAACTGTAAAAATGTTCCAATGAAAATGAAACATGTTTTCATACTGAAGATCCAGCGGTTACAGAAACAAAAACGAACCTTCGCGAATGGATAAAACGCTCTAGTGGAAACGAAACATGTTTTCATGTTAAACACCCTACGAAAACAGAAATGGAAATGAAAAATTTGCAAATGAACAGAATGTTCTAGTGGAAACGGAACCGTTTTTCATGCTGAACACCTGGCGGAGACGAAAATGGAAACAAAAATTTCGTGAATGGAGAAAATGTTATAGTAGAAATGGAACGTGATTTCATGCCGGATACCCGACGTAAATAGAAACGAGAATAAGAAAATTCATGGAGTGGAAACAAACTATTTATAGTAAAAAGATAAATAGAATCGAAAAGGTTTTCAGGCTGAAGACCGCAAAAATGGAATGAATTGTCGCAGCCTTTATGAAAATTTCTACTAAAAAAGAGATATCATGGCATGTTTTTGAACTAAACTCACGTGGAAATGATGCTTTTTCTATTCATACACGTGAAAAAAATATGTTCATGTTATCCTATATATTTAAGAGAGTCATCTCCACTAACTTATTTATCTTAACATGCAAGCATATCATATCAACATACAATTATGGATGGGATAAAGCTCAGCTCAATATACAACCAGGCATGAAAAAAGACCCACCACCACTTGCCACCATGCATGGGAAAACATTTTTCATTCTACTCCCTCCGTCACAGTTTAGAAGGCACAATTAAATTTGCGTGCGTTTCCACAATAGACAATGTTTAGGGCGCATTGCATTTATTTCTAGTAGCTAATTAGTACTCCGATATACAATTTCTATATGCATGCGTAGTGTGAATGCTATTCTTTAGCTCATCTGACAACCAATAGATAACCACCTAGGTCCCAGAGAATTTCCAAGCGCGCCTTCTAAACCGTGACGGAGGAAGTAGTATTCTACTTGTATTCAATAACTATTTTTCAACTCTACATAACCAATATAATAAGTTGTATGTATTTTTCATTTTGGTTCATGTGTTATTAATCTAAGTATTTATATTCTACACAATCAAATCTCATTGAAATACAATTGATTCCCACAACGACGTGAAGAGTATCATCTAGTTATTGTAGATGAGCAATTTTAACATGGTCCTCATTGTAGATAGCCCACTTCAATAAACCATAAAACTTTAGCCCAACCACAGCATGGGCATATTGTTGGCCCCATTGCTTTGGTCGTAGCTATTGCTTTTATAAATATATTTTTCTTACTGTTATTCAGCTCACACGTTACACATCCAGGCCCAAGAATCTAGTTTAGCAAGATTTCCAAGTTATCCCTAGACTGGATGATTAGTACTCCCTCTGTTAAAGAAATATAATAGCGTTCAGATTTCTACTTTAGTGATTTAAAGGCTTTTATATTTCTTTACTGTGGGAGTACCTGCAATTCTCTCTTGTACGCATCAGCTAAAAAAAAAACACAAGTCTTGGTACTCATTATAAACAAAAAATCATACTAGTAGCAGTGAAGCAATATATTCGGCACATATAGAAATCCTAGTGACCGAGAACAGAGGAAAACGACCTGGGGGAGACGATTGATGCCTTAAGCGAGGGTGTTGCAATTGCTGAACTCGACAAGGATATACATGCAGTTCTCCTTCGCCCGTTCTTTGTTTTCCTCTCTTTTGCTTTCAAGGGGATGGAAAAAGAACGCGAAATTTGCAGCCGGGGATGGCTTTGAACGTCTGACGAGTAGTCATTGCTTATTCGCCACTCCTCCCTTCAAAGGGACTACCGGACGGAAGAAATCAGCCGAAGCCTTTTCAAAAAGAAAAAAAAAATCCTCAGAGGAACACATGTTGATCTCTTCTGCTTTCCGTATTTTATTTTAACTTTAAATGCCGGTTTTGGGTCATTTTCATG